GTGCTAACAGACACGTAGAGACAAGTCACATTTACACACCATTCAAAAGAGACCATAGAAAAGCCAACAAGAAAAGACATCCTCTCCAGCAGCCAATAGATAAGCTGGGATTAACACCAGACAAACAAGCAAGCAAGCAAGCAGAAAACAATACCCCAATCAACCAAGTCCACAGAGCACCAAGAACGCCCATCGGTCAACCCTGAGCTGTAGAGATTCGTGGATTGATGGATTGATAAAATTTATTTGCCACCCATCCTGTATCCAACAATGACCTTCTACTGATTAATTTTATTTGCGGCTTAGTAAATGGAGGGAAGACATCTGGTTTGCCGAATTCTAACCAAGTTGGAAGAAACTGGAAGGACTTATTAGATGAACATAAATCAACGCAGTTGTGTCCCAACAACCATGTCCATCTGTGTCTGCCTTCAGATGGCTACGCTGGCTTAAAAATGAGGTCCTTCCCCCAGATCTTTGGGGTGGGGGTGTGGAGACCATGGGGGAAAAGCCCCAGATATGGAAGCAAAAGGAATATTCAAATTATGGCTGGTAAGATCCAGAAGGATGACTCTGGAAGAATGCAGAAGTGCTGATCGGTTCATTGCTCTCAGACCAACAGCGGCATCAGGAATTTTTCAGATATTTTACTTGGCTGCACCAGAAGCTTAACAGAGGGATGATAACAGATAACGTCGCAAATAACAACCCTAAAATATCAGAGAGAATAGAATAGAATAGAATATAGAAATAGAAAAAGAATAGAATTAGAATAGAATAGTATTAAATAGAATAGAATAAAATTAGAATAGAATAGATTTAAATAATAGAATAGAATTTGAAAATAGGAATAGAATAGAAAATAGGAATAGAATAAAATAGAAAATAGGAATAGAATAGAATTAGAAAGACTAGAATAGAAAATAGGAATAGGAATAGGAAAAGGAATAGGAATAGAATAGAATAGAATAGAATAGAATAGAATAGAATAGAATAGAATAGAATAGAATAGAATTCTTTATTGGCCAAGTGTGATGGGACACACAAGGAATTTGTCTTCAGTTCATAAGCTCTCAGTGTACATAAAAGCTATAATCATAGTTGTCATAAAACACATTCATAGTGAATCATAAAACACTTAGTGATAGTCTTCGGATGCTAAATAAGCAATCAACATAAATCCTACTAGGAAACTCAATAAAACAATATAAATTGTAAAGATACAAGCAACAAAGTTATAGTCCTAAATAGAAAAGGAGATACAAGCTTTGTTGCTTGTATCTTTACAATTTATATTTTTTTATTGAGTTTCCTAGTAGGATTTATGTAGCTTTAATATCACCACCTCTGGATTTGTAGGCCCTTGAAATCATACACTTGAAAACCCTTTAGGACCGTATTTATCGACAGCAGCCTGAACCTGTGTGGACTTCAACTCCCAGAATTCCCAAAGCTGTCGGGGGGAATTCTGGGAGTTGAAGTCTGCCTGGCTTAAAGTTGCCAAGGGGCTTTAGAAAGTATACAGTGATGGAAACAGTACTCTAGTGCCCTCTAGTGTCCAAAAGCGAGAATTACAAAATCCTTTTTTGCCGGAGAAATCAAAAATAAAATAAAATAAATCAGAAATCATCCAGCTGCAGGATGCATGTGACCAACAGGAAACGGGCTGCTCCTGAGGAAAGAGGATTCTGGGAGTTGGAGTGCATCTGAGACTGGTTGAGGAACTCTGGGAGTGGAAGTCCGGGCATTTTTAAAGTTGCAGAGACGGAGAAATCCGTTTTCGAAGGTCAAGTGAAAGGATAGCCAAAGTGTATAAAACACACACAAAAAAACCAGGTGTGGACAGCTGAGGTCTCAGAGAGCGAGGACTCAGATGAGGGGCCTGCGTGTGATGCAGGGATGGGGCCAGAACCATCAGGAAGCGGAGTGCTGCTTTCGGAGGTTGTGGAGGCTGGCAGCAGTGAGGAAGAGCACCCCGAGGAGCCTGTGCCAAGTGCGCATGCGCACAGGGCTGCTCGAAGGAAACAGCAGCTGCAGCAGCGCAGGCAACTTGGGAGTAAGGCTGCAAGGTGATGGCCCCTCCCTTAAGGGATAAAAGCCAGCCCTCAGAGGTGGGATTCTTTGCAGGAAGCAAAGAAGTTCTTGCACTTCAAGCCTTGTGGTCATTCGGAATATCTTGGTTGGTGTTTGGAGACTCTTTGTGTTCGAACTATTTCTTAGCAACTTTATCTAGCGTTCTTGGCAGCCTTGCACAACCTTGGCAAGGCTCGTTCTTATCTGGGACAATTAGTTTTAATAGTGTTTTTACTGCGAATGAACAGAATTCACAGAGAAGCATTTAAAAGGGTTTGCTTTTCTCTCTGTTTGGCGTTTGTTTGTTCTGAACCAGGCTTGGGTCGGGACACTTTTATCTCTGACCTATGCCAGGCCCACCCCCCGCGGGTTCACTCCCCTGTAAAGCAAAGCTTCTCTTCTGCAGAAAACAAATTTTAAAAAAGTAGAACAGAACAACAGAGAGACTGAGTTGGAAGGGGCCTTGGAGGTCTTGTAGTCCAACCCCCTCCTCAAGCAGGAGACTTTATACCATTTCAGACCAGTGGCTGCCCAACCTCTGTTGTAAATAGATTATATTTTAACGCAAGCATTCGCATGCAGCACAGTTCCGGCAAAGCCACCTGCCTCTGAATCGGCTGCTTCCAAAGAGAGATTTCATTAGGACTCTGCTTGATAAGGCAAATTCGGTATGGGCCGTAGATTTGGAACATTTCAAAAATGGCACATCTGCCCTAGGAGAAAAGTGTGTGTGTGTGTGTGTGTGTGTGTGTGCAAGAGAGAGCGAGGGAGGGAGGAAGGGAAGAGAAAAAGAGACAGAGGGAAAGAGAGGAAAAGTAAAAAGAGAGATAAAGAAAAAGAGAAAAAAGAGGAAAAGAGAAAGACAGGAAAAGAAAGAGAGAGAGAAATAGAAAAAGAGAAAGAAAAGAAGGAAAAAGTGAGGAAAAGTGAGGAAAAGAGAGACAGAGCAAGAAAAAAAGAAAGAGAGAGAGAGAGAGAGAGAGAGAGAGGAAAAAAGACCAAAAGAGACAAGAAAGGAGAGAGAGAGAGAGGGAGACAGACAGACAGACAGAGATGCTGAGCCAGGAGATTTGGGATTCAAAGCATCTGTTTATGTCACATGAGTTGGGTGGGAATTTTCCACTGGGGGAAAAAAGAAATCAAACCGTTAACCATTAACCAACCTGACGTGGCTGGAAAAAATCTTTTCTTGCAGCAGAGAGAGATTTTCTCATCATTAATCAAGGCCGTCTTGAGAGACCTTGGAAATTTAACCAACGAACCAACAGCTCTGCAGACCTTCTGAGTCCACTTGTTCTCAACCTCATCCATTTTGAAACGTGCGGACTACGACTCCCAGAATCCCCTGGCCATACTTTGCAATGCACGGACTTCAACTCGCAGAATTCCCTGTGGGATTAAGGGCGTGCTCACGGTATCTGACCTGATAGGACCAGTAGATGTCCTTAGGGAAAGGCGATCCTGTAGATTAATCTGGTCTTGTGCTTTAAAAGGGCTTTAAAAGTCCTAGCACCTTGGATTGCGCATGGAAGAAACAGGGTGCAGCTCGTACAATACTGCTGTTACATGGCAGGCTAAGGAACAAATAAATGTAATAAACCAACCAACCTAGGAACATCCATCATGGTGCACGTTGCCACGTTGAGACACTCATTCTTAAAGATCCATCTCATCCTGAGCACCCTTGTTTTTGAACTATTACCATCTGGCAGGCAGTACCGGATAATAAAAACGAGGACAGCACCAGCAAGATTGACGAAAATTTACTCAAATATGAACCTGGAATGCTGGAAGTGTAAAAATAAACAAGGTACATTATTTCACGTGTGGTGGTCCTGCCTCCAAAGCAAAAGAATATTGGAATAAAATTAGAACAGAGTTGAAGTCCACAAGTCTTAAAGTTGCCAAGTTTGAAGACCCTTGATCGATTCTTTTTCTTTCTTTCTTTCTTTCTTTCTTTCTTTCTTTCTTTCTTTCTTTCTTTCTTTCTTTCTTTTTTTCTTTTTCTTTCTTTCTTTCTCTTTCTTTGTCTGTCTGTCAATCTATCTATTCCATCTATTTATTTATCTATTCTATCTATCTATTCTATCTCTCTCTCTCTATCCTACCTCTCTTTACCTATCTATCTATTCCAGGGGTCTTCAAACTTGGCAATTTAAGACTTGTGAACTTCAACTCCCAGAATTCCTCCTCTAGTCATGTTAGCTCGGGAATTCCGGGAGTTGAAGTCCATAAGTCTTAAACTTGCCAAGACTCTTGGTGTAGGGTCTCCTGCTTAAGCAGGGGGTTGGACTAGAGGACCTCCAAGGTCCCTTCCAGCTCTGTTTCGCTATGTTCAAAATCACTTCAGTTGTTAAGGGAATCCAGCTTCCTCCCCTGGATGTCGTTTGCAGCAGGCCAGCCTCGAAGATCACAACTGGCGACCACGCGATCCCAGGCGTCTGCAAACTCTTGTAAATACAGACCCACATTTGATCCCTTGACCATGGCGAAGTTGTGACCCTTTTAAACAAACAAGGACCAGTTATCACTCCCCATTTTATTTTCCACAGCCGACGTAACTTCAAACCATCCCTGAACGAATGGTCGTTACGCCGAGGACTACTTGAAACGCCGGTTTTTGTGTTGGCAAAGAAATCCGTCTTTGTCACGGTTTGGGGCAGAGAGAGACATAGTAGAGCCCCCACCCACCCCCGTCCTTCCCTCCTATCAAGGCAGCTGGTGTGTTCCCCGAACACCTGTCAGGTGAGTTGCAGGTGAGCCCTGTGTGTGTGTGTGTGTGTGTGTTTTGTGTGTGTCTTTTCCGACAGAGCCGTGAGAAAGCGGACAGCCGGCCGCCGTGTCCTCTGTGGATGGTCAAGGCAACACGTGGCCGGGTTAAGTGGGCATATAAAAAAGCGGTGGAAGAAAAGACGTGCCCATTTGGTGCCCCGTTTGGCGACGATGAGGGTTCTCGTGGTCTTGGCGACGTGGCTGGCTGTGGCGTTTGCCACCGATACCTTTGACGGGTAGGTAGACACGGGTAGGAAAAGACACAGTGACCAGAGGAGAATTCACCTGGTGCCACTTTCGGGTTCTTAGCAGCGTTGGTCGCTGGACAGTTTCATAATTTTTATTTTTTTTGGTGGGGGGTCCCTTCCCAGGTTCTAAGCAGAGCCCCTGCTGCATGTGCTGCATCGTTCTCCTTCTGTCCTGGCCTCTTTTAACTAAGGAATGATGGAGAGCATTTTAACAAACCGCTTCCCTGTCTGGTTTGGTGGCCGCAGCGCCTCAGATAGAAAGTCCCTACAGAGAGTGGTGAAGACAGTGGAGATCATAGGAAGCTCGCTTCCCGTTATTCAGGATGCAGCTTATAAACTTAGGGCTCAAAGCATTGTTAGAGACCCCTCTACACACACACACACAATTCACGGCCTGTTTCTGTTGCTCCCCTCTGGGAGGAGGTTTCAAAGTATTTCTAGCAGATTCTGTAACAGCTTTGCTCCCTAAGCCATCCGTGTGAGATACTCTCAAGATTCATTTTTCTCGCCGTGTGCATGCATACATCCGAACTAGGTTGCGTTGTTTCTCTGTGTCATGTAACATATGTGGCAGAGGTGGGATTCAGCCGGTTCTGACAGGTTCTGGAGAACCGGTAGCGGAAATTTTGAGTAGTTCCGAGAACCTGCCAATCCCACCTCTGTCTGGTCCCGCCAACCCCATATCTCTTCTCTGCCTCCCCTTGAGTCCCAAGCTGATTGGCTGGGTCTCCTTTGGTTGCCCTGCACAGGAGAACGGAGCTGGAAAGCAGGTTAGTGGGGTGGGGAGGGAAGGAGGATTTTGCAGTATATCCTTCCCCTACCACACTCACCAAGCCACGCCCACAGAACCGATAGTAAAAAATTTTTTAATCCCACCACTGATAGGTGGGTATATGCATAATTTTGTATTTACTTATTTATTCGTTTTGTCATGTTTGTGTAGTGTATGTTGGAGATGGTAACCCTTTGAGAGCTGTCTGCAACAGAACTGCATTTTAATGTATGCCAATTAGTGTACGTTCAGAGTGACAATAAAGTTATTATTTATATAGAAGAGCTGCGGTGGCACAGTGGTTAGAGTGCAGTACTGTGGGCTACTTCTGCTGACTGCTGGCTGCCAGCAGTTCGGGAGTTCGAATCTCACCAGGCTTCAGGTTGACTCAGCCTTCTGTAGGAACACAAGGCTGTGCCACCCACATGGCCTGCGGGAACACAAGGCTTGCGTTGCTTGCATTGCGAACAATACGAGGTAGTGAGGGGAGGGGGGAAAGGGCAGAGAGGGGAATTTGCCCCACGTGCCCCACGTGTCTGGCCTGGCCACTGGGCTGCTTCTCCCCGCTTCTTTCTTCTTCTGCTTTTGGCTGCATGCAAGGAAAGCAGCCAAAGTCTTTCTTTCTCTCCCCCAAACTCCTCCAGAAATGAGTCTTTGGGACCCTGCAAGGCCTCCTGCTCTAAGCGGCTGCGCCAGCAAAGAACTCATTTCTGGCGGGGTTTGGGGGGAGAGAAAGAAAGACTTCTGCGGCTTCTGCTGCTTTCCTTGCATGAAGCCAAAAGTCTCTCCCTCCCTCTGAGAATGGAGCTGGAGACGGTATCCTGCGATCCCAAATAAAGAACGATCGATTGGTAGGAAAAACAGGGTGGGGGATTTTCCTGCAGACTTTTTTGGGGGATTTTTCCCAGAGTCTCTGGTCTGCGGGATTTAAAAGATAAGCTTGGTGGTCCCTGAGGTTCCAAAAGGTTGGCGACCTCTACTGTAAGCCGCTGGTGCTGGCTGGGGGAATTCTGGGAGTTGAAGTCCAAGCTGCTGAGATTGACAAACTCTGCTTTACATAGAATGTCTCCATGCCAAAAAAAAAAGCCCCCCCTAGTGACATCTAGTGGCAGAAAGCAAGCATTACAACATCCCTTGGGCAAAAAAAAGAGGAAAAACTCAAAAATGGCTCCCGGATCCAGGTGCCCAGGTTCAGGAGGTGCACTGTTTCAAGTCACACATTCCCAGCTTCTCCTTGGCTGCTTTCCTGCTGCTGTCGCCCAGATCCCAGCTCTTGGGCCCAGGCAGCCATTGCAGGGATTTCTACCTATCCCACTTTCCTAAGTCCTGCAACCGTATCTGTTACACCTGTTTTCAGAAGTCTGGGTTTTTTTGGGTGGTGTGGGGGGGAGGCTTCTGTTTCTGTCACCCTACACAAACTGAGGCAGGCTGGAGTGGAACTGGGGGAACCTGTCTCACAAAAGATTTGCAGGTGACTAGATTGGCTTTTCCTAAATATGAAAAGCCGCTCGTTGAAGAGAAGGACCCGGGGGAGACAGGATAGCCGTGTTCCAATATTTGAGGGGCTGCCCCAGAGAGGAGGAGGAAGGGGGTCAAGCTATTTAACAAAGCACCTGAAGGCCAGACAAGGAATAATGGATGGAAACAGATCAACGAGAGATTCAACCTGGAAATGAGGAGAAATTTTCTGACAGCAAGAACCATCAACCCAGGGAACAGAAGTTGCCCTCAGAAGTTGTGGGAGCTTCATCCCTGGAGGCTTTCGAGAAGAGACCGGACTCCAATTAAGAAGAGTGAAAAGCGGGGAGAAGTTATATAGAAGATATAGAATGGTAAATAAGACAGGCAATGGTATATAAGATGAGCATGAATTTAATTGAAGTCCGTATAAAGAGAGGTAATCTGGGGCCAAGCCACTTTCCAAAAAGAAGTTTTTATGTTTTTGTGTTTTGTGTGTTTATGTTTGATTGAGAATTAATAAAACCTTGGAGGAATGTCAGATGAGAATAATTGTAAACAAGTCAGAGGGAAATATAAATATGATGATTATAAAATAGATAAATATAGAAATGTAATTGAATAAGAGTAAAGAGAAATAATGAGAAATTTGCTAAATGATATTTATGCGTTCATATGGAAATGGGATAAATTAGAATTATGCTGTATAAAATAATGTTTTATCTGCCCTGTAAAAATTTACAATGGAAAGAAGTTTTATGTTTTCAATGTTTAATGATGTTTTGTCTTTAAAATTAATAAAATTTGTTTCAAAAAAAAAAAAAAGAAGAGACTGGACTCCCATCTGTCAGAAATGGTATAGGGTCTCCTGCTTGGGGGGCGGAGGGGGGGTTGGACTAGATGACCTACAAAGTCCCTTCCAAATCTTGTTATTCTGCCCTTGTCTCTGCAGACACCAGGTGCTCAGAATCACGGCTGCTGATGAAGCTCAGGTGGAGAAGTTGAAGGAGCTGGAAGCTTTGGAGAATCTCCAGGTATTGATAAACAAGAACCTTGCCTGCGACCGGGGGTCCCTGGCCAGAGTAATGAAGTTATCCGTTCATTAAGAATAAAGAGGAAATTGTTCTTGAGCTATATAAGCTGTGTTTCCAAACTTCATCTCTGCTGAATATAACTCCGCATCGGTGACAGGAAGGGCATCCGGCCAGTAAACCCTCAGCTCCGTTCGGTTGTCCAGACTTCGCCCCGATGCAAGGGATTATGGGTCATTAAAAGAAGAAGGTGATGATGATACAAGTCAATAATCTTCTACCTTCACTCTCATTTTGATGCTTAGCTGGATTTCTGGCGAGCACCGGCTCACCCCGACCTCCCCACAGATGTCCGTGTGCCTTTCCACAGCCTTCAAGGGGTCAAGATCTTCCTGGAGAGCAATGACATCCAATACTCCATCATGATCGACAATGTTCAGGTGAGTGCTCTGACCACATGAGAAGACAAACAGGTGGACGTGTTGGTTCTGGAAAGAACCACCCCGGGAATTTCAAAGGTCTGAACTTAGAACCAGTGTAGTTTGGAGAAGATCACCTTGAACTGTAATTCGAAGGAGATGCCGCAAAAAAAATAAGGGTGGGGTCCACCTATTCTCCAAAGAACCTGAATGTCATGCCCCTGTCGGAGTCGGAGTCCGAGGAGGGAGACGAACAGCCGACAGGGAGCAGGAATGTGGCTCCGTTTGGCTGTGGAGGAAACTGGGGAAAGGCAAAGTCCGACTGGGCAGAGCAGGGGAGAGGTAGAACAAGGGAGAGGGAGTTCAGAGGAAGACCCAGGCCCACCCCCTCTTCATCCTAGGGCACGCAGGGAGGAATGGAGAAGGGAGCAACGTGAGTTGCATGGCTTACGGGGGAGGAAAGGGCCCTGATTCCCTTCATTAGCCACAGCTGGGAAGAGAGTTTAAAAGAGATGCATACTGAGTGCGGTGGCGGCTGGGAGCAAACCTGAGTTTATCTCGTGTTGACTTTGATTATCTGTGTTCCTGGCGTCTTCCCAACCGTGTTGAGTTATTCCATGCCTTCATGTCTGGAATTCTTGCTCCTGATCTACCGGACTAAATACCTCATTTTGCTTTGATTGGACTTATAGTTACAGTTTTTGTTGACCACATTTTAGACTTGATTCTCTGCAGCCAAAGGCTGTTCCTGGGAGGTTTTTTCTCCAGTCAGAAGGGAACCAGGACATTGGGAGCAAAGTTGGAGCTAATAAAGGGACTCCTACTGATCATCTGCCTGTGTTTCCTTCGTGCCACAACCCGTTGGGTCATCACACTGAAGGCAGGACAAGAAGCAATGGATGGACGTTAATCAAGGAGAGATTCAACCTAGAACTAAGGAGAAATGTCCTGACAGTGAAAACCATCAATCAAGGAAACAGAAGTTATGGGTGCTCCTCCATAACTTCTGTTCTTCTGAAAACCTGGAGGTTCTCAAGAAGAGATTGGGTAGCCATTTGTCTGAAATGGAATAGGGCTTCCTCTATGACCAGAGGGTTGGACTAGATAGAAGACCTCCAAAGTCACTTCTAACTCTGTGATTCAGCATGTTTTGGGCTCATCACAAAAAAATGTAGCGTAGGAAGTTGACCCTACCTCAATGTTGAAACCCGGGGTTAAGAAGGTGTCCTCCCACAGACCATCAGCTGTTTTAAGCCATTGTTATGGACTGAAACAAGTAGCTTGAAAGAAGTTCTAGGCCGCTCTTCCATCAGATGAGTTGGCCAAGACGACCAAGGGTTTGGGGTTGGCTTTCCTGAAATTCCAGCAAGGTTTTCGATGGATTGACGGGATCCGAAAAAGAGCTTGAATGCCCCGTAGCACAGAAGGATGGTGTGGAATTACTTAGGAGTGGAAAATGCGGGAGAAAGGCTAACTTTCTTCTCAATTGTCCTCGTTGTCTCCTTCAGAAATTGATTGATGAGGAGAGGAGTCATATGATGCGCCAACGTCAACTCCCAGAATTGTCACTCGCCAATTTTAACTTCGCTACTTACCACGACTTGGATACAGTAAGTACCATTCAGGCGCCGTGGGGTCTCCGCCCATTTTACGATTCCAAATAGTCAAATTCTTCTGGAGGAGACTTCCAGAAGACAACTCATAGACCATCGTTTGGGCACCTTCTCTTGGCTTGCTAGATCTATAACTTCATGGACCTCTTGGTGCGTGCGAAACCCCTCCTGGTTAGCAAAATTGAGATTGGCCAGACAACTGAAGGACGTCCGATCAACGTCTTGAAGGTAAGTCTTCCTTTGGATGCTCGTTTTGGAGGGTGGGCTACTACGGGATGCGGAAAAAGTTGCGGTGTCTTTTCCGCCTGATTAACTAAGTCCCAAGAGAGGAGACATTGGTGGCTTGGGCTGAACTGCGGGGTCCTTGGTGCTCTCTGAGCTTGGTGGTCTTCTTGTAGATGTTTCATGACCCAACTAGGTAACATCATCAGTGAAGTACATAAACAGAGAATAAAGCACTCTCCCTTCCAGCATTGACGATGTGACCTAGTTGAGTGATGAAACATCTACAAGAAGCATCAACAGTCGTCTTCTTCTCCTTCTCCTCTTTTCCTCCTCCTCTTCTTCTCCCCCTCCCCTTCTCCCTCCTCCTCCTCTTCTTCTTCCTCCTCCTCCTCTTCTTCTTCCTCCTCCTCCTCTTCTTCTCCCCTTCGCCCTCTCCCTCCACCTCTCCTCCTCCTCCTCTTCCTCTTCTTCCTCTTCCTCCTCCTCTTCTCCCCCTCTCCCTCCTCCTCCCCTTCTCCCTCTCCCTTCACCTCTTCTCCTCCTCCTCCTCCTTCTTCCTCTTCTTCTTCCTCTTCTTCTTCCTCTTCCTCCTCCCCTTCTTCTCCCCCTCTCTCTCCCTTCCTCTTCTTCTTCCTCTTCCTCTTCTTCTCCCCCTCCCTCTCCCCTCCTCCTCCTTCTTCCTCTTCCTCCTCTTCTTCTCCCCCTCTCCTCTCCCTCCCCCTCCTCCTCTTCCTCCTCCTCCTCCCCTCTCCCCCTCCCTTTTAACACTGATGCTGTTATCTAGTTGGGTAATGAAATGTCTGCAAGATGCAAGCCAAGATGGTTGCTTGGATTGAAGGCCTCCCATTGTACTTTGATTTGCACAGTTTAGCACCGGGGGAACCAACCGGCCAGCGATCTGGATCGACACCGGCATCCATTCCCGCGAGTGGGTCACTCAGGCCAGCGGAATTTGGTTTGCAAAGAAGGTAACAGCCGCAAAACATTCTGTAAACAGGAGAAGGGAAAGCCAAACCACCCATATCCTGGTTAGATCAGGGTTTCTCAAGATTCTAGGTAGAGTTAGATATTTCTCTTTCTGGGCACGATGAGAATATAATCTGCTAAACAAAACTCCGCATTGGTGTCAGGAAAGGCATCTGGCCAGTAAACACACAACTCTATTCCAGACTCCAACCCCCAAACGAATTATGAGGTCTTTAAAATTGTTGATGACTCTTGTAATTTTGCCCCAAACGCAGGAAAAATGGAGCCCATCCGGCACAACTGCCGTTTCATGGCTGTCCCACTTCGGCCTCCCACTTATCCCTAAAAGAAAATAAATAAATAAAAGCCTTTTTTTCCACTTCAGGTGCTAAAACAAACTGGCTTGTGAAAGGTGTCCTGTCATAGAGACCCCCATAAATCAACGGGTTCCCCCAGTCCTCAGTCTGTGGACTGGGGCTGATTCACAGCATGCCAGAAACTGGGCCATGCAAACAAGGGAGGCGCCACGTGCAGGAGACAGGCAGCACATGAAACCACAGGGGGAAACCACGGATACGGTCTCTAGTGCCCCAAAAACGTGGAGGCCGCTGCCCTAAATGCACTCTTAAGGCACCTCTGTGGACGCCACTGATCCCATGTTGATCCTCTTTAGATCTTTGAAGATCACGAGACGGATCCTTCTCTCCGGTCCATCATGAACCAGTTCGATATCTTCTTAGAGATCGTCACCAATCCTGACGGTTATGCCTTCACACACACCAAGGTAACTCTTCGTGGCGGTGGGGCATCCGTGGCAAATACGAGAGGCACCACGAAAACGCTCTACGCTCTGGTTCCTTCTGACGTTCGTTGGAGCCGTGGTGGTGCATGGGTGAGAATGAGGCATCGCAGGCTGACTCTGCCGACTGCCAGGAGTTCGATCCTGACCGGCTCAAGGTAGACTCAGCCTTCCATCCTTCCGAGGTCGGTAAAATGAGGACCCCGATGTTTGGGGGCTGATTCTGTAAACCCCTTAAAGAGGACTGTAAAGCATGGTGAAGAGGTATATAAGTCCAAATGTTGGCAGGAAGGGAGGGAGGGAGGGAGGGAAGAAAGGAAGAAAGAAAAGAAGGGAGGGAGGGAGGAAGGAAGGAAAGAAGGGAGGGAGGGAGGGAGGGAGGAAGGAAGGAAAGGAGGGAGGAAGGAAGGAAGGAAAGGAGGGAGGGGGAGGAAGGAAGGGAGGGAGGGAGGGAGGAAGGAAAGAAGGGAGGGAGGGAGGGAGGAAGGAAAGGAGGGAGGGAGGAAGGAAGGAAGGAAGGAAAGGAGGGAGGGAGGGAGGAAGGAAGGAAAGGAGGGAGGAAGGAAGGGAGGAAGGGAGGGAGGAAGGGAGGAAAGAAAAAGGAGGAAGGAAGGCAAAAGAAGGAAGGAAAGAAGGAGATGGAAGGATGAGAGAAGGAAAAACAAAGTAAAGGAGAAAAAGGCAGAAAGGAAGGAAGGAGAAAGAAATGAGAGAAAGGAAAGAAGAAAAGAAAAAGACAAATAAGAGGAAGGAAGGAAGGCAAAAGAAGGAAGGAAAGAAGGAAGGAGATGGAAGGATGAGAGAAGGGAAAACAAAGGAAAGAAGGAAAAAGAAGAAGGAAGGCAGGGAGGACCATGGTGACACAGTGGCTAGAATGCACTATTGCAGTTTAACTCCGCCCACTGCCAGCAGTTCGATCCTGACCGGCTGTGGGTTGACTCAGCTTTCCATCCTTCCGCGGTCAATAAAACGAGGACCCCGATTGCTGGGGTTAAGAGGACGATTCTGTAAGCCATCCAGAGAGGGCTCTAAAAGCACTTTGAGGCGGTGTCTAAGTACTCTTGCTATTACTATTGACGGCCCTTCCTGATTGGCAGAACCGTATGTGGCGTAAGACCAGATCGAAGAGGGAAGGGTCAACTTGCATCGGCGTTGACCCCAACCGGAACTGGGCAGCAGGCTTTGGAGGTAAAACATGGGGGTGGGGAGGGTCTTCGTCACCCCGAAGTAGGAGACAACCTCTTGAGACCCAATGGGAAGAGAGGCAGCGATCAGGTGCAAGAAGTCAGAAACCAGGATAGAGCGGAAAAGCGTTGCAGGTTGTAAGTCCCGGACTTACAAACTTTCTGTCAACTCATAAAATATTTCTAGGGTCTTTGTAGAGTTGTCAACAGAAAGGGACGGGGGGCGGGGGGGGG